CCCCAAAAACCCCAAAACCCCAAAACCCCATTAGTGGAAATTTTAATTTTCAAGAGATTTATTTTCTTAATTTTGCTTTAAATAAAAAATTAAAATGGACAAGCTCTTGTATTGTCACTTCTGCTTTAACTCTTTTGATGATAATATGCATCAGCCAGCTCAAATTATGACGAACTCTAACTCTAACTCAATGATGCAGATCTGTAAAACTTGCCTTGAAAAGACTTAAAATGGGGACACCTATGGAATGGGACTAGTTGAGACAAATACTCTTAAAAGATAGACTTTCACTCATAGTTAATCAGTTGGAAAACTACATTAAACGAACAAGGCTCAAACTACTAGATCTAAAAATAATACTTTAAGTAATTCTAAGAAAAGATTAAGAAATACAGCTACAGGAGATATTCACAGGTCAATGGTTTATCACTCTAACAATAAAAGTCAATCTTTTAACAAGGATATTACTGATATGAACGATGAAGAGGTAAATGCAGTTGTCTAGAAAAATATGAGGGATTATCAAAGAAAAGGACTTTTGGACATTGTTGACAGAGACAATCACTATCAGGGATGTGGAACTTGCATCTAATAAAGACAAAAGCAAGGAGGGTCGTCTTCAAAGACAAGATATTGTCCACATATGAATTAAAGAACAACTGTGACTACTCCTTAACAATAAATTAGGGGAAATAAATCCTCATCGATGTTTAGGCAACACTAAGGACGACCTAGATCGGCTTTTAAGAATAGCGAGGGCAAAAATATTTAGACTCAGAGACCGTAGACATAGCTCTCTTTAAATCAAGACTCTCTTAACAGCTCTACATTAAAAAGATAGCTTCAAGGAAATGCTAGTCCGTAAATTGATATAGATTTGAATCTTTATAGCTCTTAGCAGCACAAACTCGCATAGGGATCAGGAAAAGAGGCACTAAAATCTATTGTTGAAATTAGAAAGAGCTTGGCTAATCCCTAATTACTTAGCTATAAAATATCATCAGAACAAGGTAATGTTTGGAGAAATGCATATTATCTAAGTACTTCTATTGAGGAAAGTAATGTCAGAAGATCTGTAAACTCTATGCAAAACACCAATAGATCTCCAGGGTAAGATCTCCCAGTCAATCGAGACTATTAGCAATAGTAAACCATTCCTTCACCAAGAAGTACTTAGTTTCAGCAATAGTAAACAAGAAATGATCTTCAGATGCATGGAAGTTTCTTAGAAAGATAAAGCAATGGCGGGTCTCTATCATAAAGACCTGCTTCAGGAATGTCAAGAGGTGGAGGAATCGCTAATACTTTGAGTGATCAAAAGATTTTCAATAATCATACACCTACCTAATCGTTGCCATAGTAAAATGTACAGGCTTATCTTGATTTTAACACTATGTCCACAAAGAAACAGAATCAAACTCCAAATTATGGAAGTTTGAATGGTGGTGGTCCTCACCCAGAAAGACAGTACTCGCAAAAATCACTAAATCAGCAAAATACAGGTCTAGTGGTTAATCCATGCCCAATGCATATTATGAATGAGATAGCTTTCTTGGATAAGACCACCAAGAGAGGGGCTTGCTCAGAGTGCATTCCTGAGTTGACTAAGTAAAACCATGAATTAATGCCAATAAACGCCACTATTTTCGAGATAAGAGATGTTATGATGAATCTTGAATGCTAAATGCTTGAGCTTTTAAGATAAAGAACAGCTCTATTGAATGACAACAGGAATAAAATGTCAATTATAGATGCAGATTAAAGTCAATTCGTCTAAGAGCAGCAAAATAAGATAAATCAACTACACAACTACTTGGAAGATAGGCTTAGGACTGCAATAAATGACTATTAAAAGGCAATTGAACCAGATACCTTTAAAGTAAAAAGTAATATAAATAGACTTGAGGATTAAATTTCTATAAACAAGCAATTCATCTCAGAAGTATAAGCATTGAAAAGAGAGTTCGATAATAACACAAGGATTTAGAACATTGTAGATAAAGTGTCAGTTGCTGGAAATCTCCTTAATCAATATAACTCACTTAGAAGCAAGTAAAATGATGACTAGTTTGAAACAGTTTATCCGAATCATCTTAGAGATTTCCTACCAGTTTTTTAGATTAACACTGATTAGGAACTTGAGATAATGGCCAATAAGTTTCGAGTCTTGACTCATCATATGAGCTAGCAATAGCAAATGAATTTGTAATTTGATGCTACTATGAGATCTCCAACTAAGTAAAATATCCTAGGAGCAGCTCCATCATCTGGGTTCTTTAATCAAGCCCCCTTTAAGCAAACCAATAGTCTAATCAACTCTCAAGGACTCTAAACTCCTAATTAAATGAAATCTCATGCAGAATCACTTTATGATCCGAAATTAGCGAATCAAATTTAGAAAGACGAATCATTTGAGGAAGTAAATCTAGAGACAAGAGAAGATATGCTTCTATCCAACTAAAAGGAAGGAAATATGGGTAAAAGTAATCAGAAGAATACAGCTAATTTTAATTATTAATAGCAGCAGTAATAATAGAATGGGCAAACAAATAACATGCTAAGATCCTCTACAAACAAGCAAATGAACTTGTTTGATACACCTTAAGTAATGAGAAGAAAGATCAAGATTCTTAGATGGCTTTCCAAAAAGATAGGAGAATACGATATTGACAATGATTTTTGGAGAGCAAATGATGCCTAGGTTGATAGACCATTCTTGGCTTTCTCAAGAACCATTTATTTACCTAATTAAGATATGATTGTGATAGGAGGTCTCGATGATTTCATACCTAATAAGCCAACATTTTCAGCTTAATGCATTCTTATATCAGAAGTTCCTTTAAATTCCTATGATAATCTGTATGTCTAAAACCCATTAAAATCAATGATATCTAAAAGAGGTTGTTTCGCTGCAATCTTCCATGAAGGCTTCATCTTTGTAATGGGAGGCTTAAACTACACTGAGAAGATTTTGAAAAAGTGTGAGAGATACTCGATTGCTGATGATAGATGGGATCATATCGCAGACATGTAGGAACCTCGTAAAAATGCATCAGCCTGTGCACTTACCACGGACACAATCTATGTCTTCGGCGGTTCTTCTCAATCTTAGTCTTCAGATACCATTGAGCAGTACTCAATAGCTACTAATACTTGGAACCTTCTAAAGATCAAACTCCCATCTCCGATATCATTCGTTACTAGCTTCAAAATGTCCCAGACTTAAATCATACTACTAGGTGGTAGTGTAAAAGAGCATTCTAGAAGAGCTTAGACCTATAAAACCAACTAGGTCCTAGTGTTTGATGTGATACAGCCCAAGTTTACCAGAGTCAAGAATCTAGAGAGAGATCTGATATCCCTTTACCCTGCATTCTTTGACTCAGGCACATTATTCTTGATTGATGAAGATGGCGACAGTGAAAACCCTCCTATTATTAGATACGATATGACATACCTTCTTCAATAGTAATAGTATAATTTGGAATGAATAACAGTAGCACCTGATAAGACAATTTAACATATTGAAACAAATAAGGTTTATAAGTGAAGGAGAATTGATATCTAGTTAGCTAGCTTTCTTTATTAGAAATTTAATCATTACCATTATAAACTTAAAATAATTCGAACCTATAATTATTATAATTAAATATAACTGATAATGAGGAAAGTCTTACTAGCTACACTCTAGTTACTTTTATGTGCATCTTTAGCCTCTGCTTAAGAGGAATTTTAATATGAAGATGGTGTCCTTATAGCCACCAGCTAAAATATTGATAAAATCATTGCTCACTTCAATGGTACATTTTTACTCGAACTCTACGCTCCTTGGTGGTAACATTCAGTTTTGATCTGTAATTTTTCAAATATAGCGGGCATTGTAAGAGATTGTAACCACTATACAATGCAGCAGCTTAGAAGCTCTCAGCTTAGGAGAACCCAATATAACTTGTCAAAGGTAATGCAGCAGATGACAGATCGTTAGGTATGAGATATGGATTGAGAAGTTACCCAACTATTGTATTCTTAAAGTAAGTAGCAATTTTTCAATAATAAGTGTATCTTTTCTACACGCTCTAAATATTCTATCATCCAACCTCTAATATAGGAATGGTATTGTTTATAAATACACTGGAGCAAGAACTGAGGAAGGAATAATTGCATGGCTCTCATAGAGAACTCATCCCACAGCTGAACTGATCACCTGCACTCAGCTGGCTCATAAGGTCAAAGCTAATTAGCTAAATTTAGTTCTCTTTGCTGAGGAATCCTCAACTTAGCGCGATACATTGGTTAAGTTAGCTTAAGACCATAGTTTCTATGATAAATACGGTTTTTATCAAGTTTCTGAACCTGACTGTGCAGTTCAACACTAAATCGGTTCAACTCCAGCATTTGCTATTTTCAGAAATTTCGATGAGCCTATTGTAAACTATTCAGGAGATATTTCTGAATAAAATCTCAAAAGCTTTATTATTAAACAGTCCATCCCATCTTTGTTTTACGTGAAAGATGGAGATGATGTGAGGAATATTTTAGAATTAGGTCACAAAGTTGCAATCATGTTTTCTGAGAATAGAGATAGCTCGAACACGCTATATCAAGCATTCAGAGCTGCTTCTCAAACCTATAGAGGAAAAATGCTTTTTGCCATATCAGGAATGCAAGATGGTGCCCAAGATAAGATTAGAGGTCACTTTGGATTGCACAATACTCAATATCCTATCATCGGTATTATAGATCAAGACCCTAATCTAAAGTATATCTTAAATGTTGATGAGGAAACTACCAGTGAAGAGCAAATTAATGGGTTTATTAATGACTTTTTTGGAGATAAATTATCAAAATACATCAAATCTGAAGACATTCCTGACGAATCATCTCATGATGATGTTTTTACAAAAGTCGTGAGCAAGACATTTGAACAAGAAGTCTTAAAAAGTTAGAGCAATGTTGTTGTAGTCTATACTACTAGAAGATGCTAGAATTGCCCAAAAATTCAGTAAATGATAAGATCCCTAGCCCCAAAGCTTAGATAGTAAAACAGCAACTTGAAGTTTGTGGTATTCGATGATTACTATAATGAGCATGAAGGTAGAAATATCAAGGGTCATCCAGAGTTAAGGATTTATGCTGAGAATAAGCCGTAGTCAGTTGAGTATTCAGATAAGATGGATGAATAGAAATTATCAAAGTGGATTCTAGACAATGCAAAACTAGCCTTACCAGTGGAAAACGTACCTATTGAGGAAGTTAAGCAAGAATAGGCTCCAGAAGAAGTTAAGCAAGAGCAAGCACCAGAAGAAGTTAAGCAAGAGCAGGCTCCAGAAGAAGTTAAGCAAGAGCAAGCACCAGAGGTAGTTAAACCCGAAGCAGAAGTCAAGAAAGAAGAACTTTGAAATTCACAATTTAGATTTTTACATAAATTTAGAAATACTATCTCTTAATTTGACTTTGAATTATATTCAGGGGTTTTGGGGTTTTGGGGTTTTGGGGTTTTGGGG